ACTCAGAAACAAATCTCGAAACCCAACAGCTTTGGGCAGAAATGTGTCCAGTCCCTGAAGTAAGTTACAGGCACTGGGCCACCCCAGGTGGGAATAGATTTCGTGCCTTGGCCCGTTCCCCCTGGCAGCCCGCTGGCCGCCATCCTCCAGAGGCCACTGGACAGTCAGGTTTGGGCTCACAGTGACGAGACACGTAGGGCCTCACGGGATGTGGGTGGAGCTGGCCCTTTCCTCCCCAACGAGACCCCAAGTCATCACCCACAAACGGCCTCTCTGGCTGCTGATTTCATCTTGGAACCCAGCAGGTTTTGGCAAGAAATTCCTCCAGATTTAATGGTTAAAATTGTGGAATTTCAAAATCGCGCAGCCACTACTGCAGCCACGCGATGTCATATGTTATTCATAACCAGGAGTAGAAAACAAATTGTCTACTGTTGCCTTTACAGCAGATCTGAGCACCAAATAATAATGGTGGGTCCGGTGTCAATATATTGAATGTAATCAAAGCAGAGAGAGTAATATGGAAATTATCTCCTCTACAGGTAGGGGGAGGGTGTGGGATGGGTCTATACTGGGGTTTTTGGTGGTGGAGAATGGGACCTGATGAAAGTACGGGTGTTTCATTTTATGACCAAGACTTAAACGCGAAAGTTTTGTAACTGCTCTCATGGTGATTCAATCAATAAAATTATAAAAAATGAAAAGAAAACCACTGGGTGAGGTTTAAAAGCAAAAAAAAAAACCCCAAAACAAACAAAACCTTTCTTGCATTATTGCAAAGCTTCCTAGTCAATGTACCTTAAAATGAATGCCTTCAGTGATTCTTCACAAGACAAAAATGAAGGGACACCAAGCAGTACAAACACCATCAATCCATAAAGTCTGGGAAAGAACTGGACATTGCTATATTATTAACCCAAAATGAACAGAACCAAATATGCTTATAAGCACCAACTCCTGTACGTTTGAAGCACATGTCCTCACGTTGAGATTTCTGGAAAAAGAACTTGAGTAGGACTGTTACTGTCAGCCTTCATAATACCCAATAGCAGTCCTTGACCTTAGAATCTATGGTAGGGAATTCAAACGGTCTATACATGAATCATGGTTACTTTGCAGGATATCCAAATATTATTACATCGTACTGTGAGTATTCTGTAATACTACGTTGTAAGTAAGTAAACTGTAGATTGGAGAGAGAGCCCTGGGGCAAGGCTGATGCCTAGCAAGCAGCAAACCCAGATTCTTTTCCCTGGCACTTCATAGGGTCCCCAGTAACCCCTCCAGGAGTGATGCCTGAGCAGAGCCCAGAGGAGCCTCAGCACTGCTGGATATGATTCCCAAGTCCCTTCACAAATATAAGTAAGCACCCATATTGTGGAATATGATATATATGGTCACAGTCCTCCCGTTGTTCATTGATTTGCTTGAGCGGGTCCAGTAACGTCTCCATCGTGAGACTTGTTGTTACTGTGTTTGGCATATTGAATATGTCAAGGGTAGCTTGCCAGGCTTTGCCTTGCGGGCGAGATACTCTCGGTAGCTTGCCAGGCTCTCCGAGAGGGGCGGAGGAATCGAACTCGGGTCGGCCATGTTGGCTGCGTGCAAGGCAAACGCCCTACCCGCTGTGCTATGGCTCCAGCCCATAATACACACACACACACACACACACACACACACACACACACACACGAGATTGATATCCAAGGCTAGAAAAATGGAGGCCAGGAGGCCTTGTCAATGATTGGAGAAAACCACACGTGTAGGTGACGGAGGATGCTTAGGACAAAGTAGGGACCAGTATGGCAATAATGGTTGTGATGTAGGCAGGTAGATGGGGAAAGGCCCTTTGCAATGAAACAAAGTTTCATGGAAGAAGAATTCTAGGAATGACCCACCTTGTGGATACAGAAAGCAAAGGCCCGATAAGACCATCCGCAGACCCTGAGGATAAAGGCCTCCTCCCCATGAAATTCCTCTTTTTGGACCTCCCTGGTAACCTCCTTAGCAACGGATTTTTACTTGGGAAGAAGCCCTACGTGGGGGCAGGTTGGAGAAACCCTATAAAGGCCACCTTGAAAAAAGGAGCCCATGTGCTGCTTAATTCCTGCACTCTGTATGGTCCCCCGAGCACCGCCAGGAGTGTTCTCTGAGCACAGAGCCAGGGGTAAGCCCCGAACACCGCCAAATGTGCCACAAAAAAGAACTATCTTGTTACAGATTCGTTTTCTGCATGTACTGTTATGACTAAGGAGAACAAAAACTTCAACCAGAGTATCAGGAGAAAAAGACATACTTCAACAGGATGGAAAAAATCTTGAACTGAGGTGGGGCAGATAGGCCCAGAATTTGAACTTCCTGCAGAAATGCAAACGAATGTCAGAATGAAAAGGACAAATAGGGGAAGTGCAGGATAGCACAGCGGGCAGGGAACTTGCCTTGTTTGAGGCCAACCCAGGGTCGATCCCTGATCCCCAGCATCCCAAGTGGACCCTCCCCCACCAGGAGTGATCCTTGAGCGCATCGCCAGGAGGAAGCCCCTCACATCACCAGGTGTGGCCCCAAAACAAAAGAAAAGAAAAAGGCAGATGGGCCTAAGCATATCTGAGCTTTGCTCTGAAGTCTGGGGCCACAGGGAGCACAGGCTTTGCAGGAGGCAGAGTTCCCTCCCTCCACCCAGCCCCCAGCAAGGAGCCAGGAGTATCCCCAAGGCCAGCCCACTGCCAGGCTGCCGAAGATGGAGGACACAAGGAAGGGAAATGCGTTTCCCATGAAATCTACTGTGCTGTAATTCCCTGTGACACAGCGCACCCCCCCCACCCCACCCCCATCGTCTGTTCTGGTTGCGGGGAGGCCCCCTCCTCTGTACTCTTGAGTGGCGATTGTCGGGGTCTGCTGCGCGTCCACGGTTGCCTCCCATCTCAGGTCCTTCCATCCGATCATCCTCCCAGCTCCCCACAGCTGGTCCCAAATGGTCGGTTCATCCCTGGTGCTATTTGCAGGAGACAACTCCCAAGTTGGGGGCACACAGACACCAGAGTCCCATCCTCCCCCGCGCTCCCCACAACGCACAGCCCCCCAGAATCAAGGCTGGCGCCCCTGGCTTGAGGAGGAACCATCAGTCAGAACGGGAAGTAGTTTTTTGTTTCATTTTGGTTTTGTTTTTTAAGACACTCGTCTTGGCATGCAACTTAGTGCTGGAGCGGTAGCACAGCAGGGTAGGGCCTTGCACGCGGCCGACCCGGGTTCGATTCCCAGCATCCCATATGGTCTCCTGAGCAACACCAGGAGTAATTCCTGAGTGCAGAGCCAGGAGTAACCCTGTGCATCACCGGGCGTGACTCCCGGCAAAAATAAATACACAAATAAATTTTAAAATATAAATGACCCATTTAACCACTTGTCCATTTCCCTCTGCTGTCTCATCACCTCTGTTCCCCTTCTCCCCCTATGTCCCAGGAATGTTTATGCAGCCATCCATGGAAAGTCACTCTTTCAGGGGCCGGGGAAGTCGTAGAACTGGTACTATCTTGTCTTGTACACAGCTGAGCTGGGTTCAATCCCTGGCACCCCATGTGGTACCCTGAGCCCAGAGCCATGGTAAACCCTGAGCATGGCCAGGTGTGCACCCATCCACCCCGAAGGAAAAAAACTTTCAGTGAATCTAAGGAACAAATGATGACTTTATTTTTTTTTGTGGGAATAAAAAAATTTAAAACTATTAAAAAATTTTAAAACAAATATTGAACTGTTTCTTCTTGTTAATCATGGCAAGCTGTGTCTGATTCAGAAATCTGAAGACAACTCAATTGTAGCTAATCTCAGGATCTTCATCGCCAGGTAGAGATTGTAAAGGATTCAGATGTAGGTCTGAGTGTGATGGTACATAAAGTGCTAAAAGGAATTTGTTCTGCTCTCAGGTTGAAAGCCTAGAAGGGTTTAGGTCCAGTTTCCCTGGGTTCATGCAGAAACCGCTGCCTGCCCCCAAGGGCCTTGTTGGCGTGCAGTCCTGATGGCGGAGGCTCTCGCCATCCTGGACTCCCACATGGAGGCGCAGAACTGCTGCCTCTGAGAGAGGAAGTCGCCTACACTCACCCAGCCCCTGGGTTTGCTGCGGGTTTTCCCCAGACTGTAGTTATCTCCAGCTTAGCTGCACGCGATGTGTGCCAAAGGTGTGTCTCTGCACTTTGTGAAAGTCAGCGTTTCTTTCGGGAGCTTGTCTCCAAGTTAGGTTTTCAGACAGGTTGAAAACAGGTCCAGATCTGTCGGGATGGGAGATTTGTGATGAAAGTAGATAATGGACCAAACATGATGACCTCTCAGTGTCTGTATTGCAAACCATAATGTCCAAAATTAGAGAGAGAGTATGGGGAATATTGTCTGCCATGGAGGCAGGGGGAGGGTGTAGAAGGGGGGCGGTATACCTGGGAGATTGGTGGTGGGGAATGTGCACTGGTGGAAGGATGGGTGTTTGATCTTTGTGTGATTGTAGCCCAAACATGAAAGATTGTAAGTTTCTCATGGTGATTCAATAAAAATAAATAAATAAAATTTATAAAATAAATAAATAAATAAATAAAAAAGAAAACAGGTCCAGCTGCGGAAGGCAGGGCCAGTCCTGCCCTGCTCCGATCACTGCTAAAGCCCAGAGCAGACGGGGGCGGGGTGGTCCTGTTCGGCGTACCACACTTCCCTGACGGCCAAGGACCGACACCAGAACCAGAATGTCAGGCGCGGGCTTTGGTCAGGAACTCGGCGGGGCCCGGAGGCAGCCTCCGTGGTCCTGAGCTCACTGTGGGTGCTGATGTCTGACTGTCTCCGCGCTCACGCGCTGCCGTGCTCACCTCACCCTCTCTTTTTCCTCCCACTCCTGCTTCCTTTTCTCTATCTGTGTGTCTTTGATGGAAAGACTAAAGAAACTCTATCCACGTTATAATAAATTTCATATTTTTTAGTTTCTAATATTTGGTTCTTGTTTTTTGCATTTTGAAAGGCTGCCCAGTAACACTTTAAGGCATTTGCATGATGACTGAGATTTATTTCTTATGAAAGTCGTAAGGAAAGAATCTGGATAGTGTGATCCCTTGGGAAAGGTTTCTGGCCCCGGACACCTCCCTTCCGGCTCTCCTCCCTCTGCTGTTGCTCATGACACCAAATCTAAAGCGTGTGGCTTTAAAGGGGTCCACGTATTTGTGACTCGGGCATCGGTAAAGAGGCCCGATGTCCTCCAGCCACTTGTGGATTGCACGGTAGAAGTCAGAGCTGAGAAGAGACCAAAGGAATTAGCCGTGAGGACTGGTCAGCAGGAGCAGCTGCCGGGGTCTGTTTGGCCGTGTCCATGTAGGGGTCGCCACACGTGCCCACTCGAGGAAAGGCTGCCAGGTGATTGTGCAATGTTCCAGGCTTGTGTCAGGAACGTACCAAGGAAGCTTCCCTCCCCTCCTGCCTTAGAGCTGATGGCTCAGGCTAGTCGAATAGTCCTGACCAAAGAATGGGAATGTGGGACTGGAGCGACATTCCAGCGTGGAGAGCGTTTGCCTTGCACACGGCCAACTTGGGTTCGATCCTTGGCATCCCATATGGTCCCCCAAGCACTGCCAGGAGTAATTCCTGAGTGCACAACCAGGAGGATCCCCTGAGATCTCTCAGTATGACCCCCTGCCCCCCCCAAAAAAAATCGGAATCTGCTCACGATCACGATCACAACCATCCTGTTGTTCGTCGATTGCCTCGAACAGGCCCCAGTAATGTCTCCTTTGTCCTAGCCCTGAGAATTTTTTAAAAAGTGCCATATTCAAGGCTCTTTCCGCGTTAGTAGAACGAGCCTCATCATTGTTACTGGTATTTGGCATATTGGGTAAGCCACGGGGTGTTTGCCAGACTCTGCCGTGTGGGCAGGTTACATTCGGTAGCCTGCCATTTTGTCCAAAGAAAGATTGAGATAATAAGATGCTTCCGGGAGCTGGGTTTTATAGTCTCTGGGTCTTGGCCATTGATGGGATTACAGGGCACAAGGGGGCCAGTTGTGGGTGTAACCCCTGCCTACTGGAATATGGAGGATCTGAGTGGAGGATGCTCAGCCCCAATCTGAGCAGGCTTGGAGATCTCAGCCCCAGGACACGCATGCATTTGTTCCTCTGTCAGTACCTTCATGCCTGTGGAGAGTGGTCTCAGCATGGTGGTGGCTGGTTGTGGAGGTCTTTGGCTGCCGGAGCCCTGGTCGGGGTGGGGAGGGAAACTCAACCTGCTCCCCTCCAAGGGGTCCCGGCGAGGACAGTCAGGCGCGGGGGCAGGAGACTCTGCTCATCCTCCTTAAACCCCTTCACTTGGAATAAACATTTAAAATCAGATTTTCTAAGTATGTGTTAGATTTAGAGCAAGGAACTCTTAAAATAATCTTTGGTTGGATCAGTTACCAAGTAAGTTTGTTTTGTTTTGCTTTGGGGACACAGTGCTCTTCAGTCATTCCTGCCTCCAGAGACCATGCAGTGCTGGGGACCAACTCAGCTCTCCTGTCTGTGAAGCATAGACCCCAGCCCAGCCCCAAACACATGCCATAGGAAAGTCAAGATTCCTGACCCTCAGGGTCGCATCAGAGATTTCCTTTCCACTAAAACGCTCTTATTTCCACCTAAACAAGATCCTATTCCCTAGCGAGGTGTTGCTCATGTAATAGCTTAACTGCACAGAAGTCCACCCTTTCCGGTGTATTTCCAGCCCTTGGGTGTTGAATTCAGGAGATCTCTGTTAGTCTCAGATTCTTTGCTTTCTGTTTAATGATCTGGAGTGTAAGTGTGAGCCAGGCGCTGAGAGAAATACACAGTTCTCTTTTCATCTCTGTGAGAATTCCCGTTTGCCGTAAACCCATGAGAATTCTGTAATGTGTGTGCGGATATCTTGGGTCTCACTAAGCAGACATACATTCTGCCATTTCTAACGTGGGCCTCAGTCTCCGATTCCTCCTGTCAGTTTTCGGAGGCATCTGACACTCGGAACATGCTCTTCCTTCACCCACTCACCCGGGGACCAGAGAGACTCGGCTTGTTGCTGTAAGTTACGCCTCATTCAATGTGTCACCTGCCCGCATCACTGGTGCTATGGCCCAGAGCATGTGATCTAAACATGCATGACCCAGTGCCGCAAGGTGGGATGGAGGGAGTACCCAGTGGCCCTGCCGGCTTCTCCCAGGGGTGCACATTCCGTCCATCCCCAAGGCACACAGATTCGAACCACTTAGTAGGACACGAACATCCACAGCTGTCCTGGACCCCAGACTTTAATGAGATCCCCCACTTCACACGCACCTCTGTCTCTGTCCAAATATGCATCCCAGGAGCCACACTTCTGTCCCCTCTCATGTCCTTTCCAGGCTGTGGCATTGCCCAGTCTTGACTGAACGTCTGTCCCCACCCTGTGCTCCCCCACACACGTCCTTTTGTGTGTGTTTTAATTGTTGTCATTGCTTGGTAATAATTTATTCAAGAAATAGCACTTCTTCCTGGGATTAGGTGTTTAAAAGAATTCTTTTTTGGGGGGGTGGGGTGGGGCTGCAACAAGTTCTTTTTTTTTTTCTTTCTGTTCTCCATCTTGCAAAGGTATTAACTTGTTTCTTTAAATTCAAATGGACACAATGATACGCTGGTTCTGGCATGTACACACAGGCAAACTTTTTCTCCCTCACAATCAGTAAAATTTTACTAAACTTCTGCAAGCATCAAAGCCTGGGCCCCTCACACCGCAATAGTCCTGGGAGCCGTTGAGCATCAGTTCTAGGGCAGTTGTGCACTGGCCTCTCTCTGGGTTGATTTCTGGTACAGGAAGGGAAGTCGAGGCCCCAGGGGCCATGAGGACCCTCAGCGCCTGTGACCAGCAATTCGTGGCCAGCGGGCCCTAGGAGGCTCAGTGGGCTGGGGGTTTTCCCCCCTGGAGTGGAGGGCGCCCCTGAGCAGGCGAGGGGGTGCGTGTTGAGTCTGGGACAGGGGCGCTGCAGCGGGGACAGCCCCCTGCGGCAAGTGCGGGCCGCCCGGGCCGCCGCTGACCCCCATCTCCTAGACCGCGCTGGGCAGGGTGCCCCCCCCCCCACGAGGGAGATGCGAAGCCCTAAGCCTGAGCCCAACGCTACTGCTGGACCCAGACCCAAAGCCGCTCGCCAGGGGCCCCTGCCCGCCCCACCCGAGGGGCCGGGCGCCGAGGCCGCCGTCCAGTCCTGCTGCTGCCGCCCCCTACCCCGCCCAGCCGCCCGGGGCCGCGACAGACGCCTCCGGACTGAGACCCCCCGCGCCTGGGGTCCGCGCCCGCGCCCCAGGACTCGCGCGCCCTGTGCTCCCTGAGGCCCGCCCGCCGCTGCCCCCAGGAAAGACGGTCACGTGGCCTCGGGGTGCGCCTCGCTGGGCGCCGGGGGCTGGGGTCCTCCCCGCGCGGGGAGACGGGCGCCTGGGGTCTCCCGCCGGGAGTCGCCGGCCGTGCTCTGGCCCCCCCAACCCACCTGGCGCCACGGAGCTTGGGCATCCGGCCGGCGGCCCCCCAGGGACCGCTGCGCGTGCAGCGCCCCCTCCTGTGGCTCAGCAGCCACGGGCCGGCCCCCGAGGGGCGGGCAGGGAACCCCTGGGACGCGGGAACACGGGCCTGAGCGAAGCGCTGCTCGGTGCGCGTGGGCGGGACCCCCGCGCCAGGCAGGGCTCGGCACCTGTGCAGTTCGCATGACGGCCATCAGAGGGCGCCGCGAGCCGCTCACCAGCCTGCTAGGGCTGCAGGTTGGTCCCCCACTGGGAAGGACCAGGCGATGGCCAGAGGAACCCGAGGACACATGACACTGTCCCAGCTTTCCAAATACTCTCAGAATTAAGATACCTATGGGATACCTACACGAGAGGTTTTCATTTGATAGACGCTGGATTATATGACGCCTGTTACATGCTGGGTTGAACGGTTTCCTTGGCAGTTCACCCACGGGGTTCATGACCCCGGTCTGACCCCAGGACACTGCATACACACTCTTTGTGGATGACAGTGAATGTGCTTCCGTGGCCAGTAGCACCCCTTGCCCTGACACTGTTTTTCTTCAGGCCACAGAATATGAGTGTGGTCAGCTATTGCTAACTGCAAGTTTTGTTTGTCCAGAGTTTGCAAATGACTGTTGTTTGCTGTTGGCCATTACTGAAATTGCTTTTACTAAAAGAATGGGATGCTTCTCTCTCCCGCAGGCAATAGTTTGAGATGAGTATCTCACAGGACCATTTGGCTTGATTGCACAGTACTCACTTCTAAAGGTAAAAAGGTTTTGGTTATTATTATTTTTTTGAAACTGTCATTCTGGACTCTAGCAAGAGTAATATGATGTTCCACTTCTGGAGTAAGTGGTGTGCAGAGCTGTCTGGTTTTTAGAATCACTGACGCTGTTATGAGTGGTAAATGTTTTATCTTCTGTGGCCCTTTTGTTTATTTATTTGAAGTAAAAAAAAAACATTTTATTTGGTGACCTTTAGGAAGAGGACGAGCGGAGAGAGAGTAACATTTCAGGAGAGACCGTGGGCTTCTCCAAAGGCAGAGAGAGCCCCTACACACATCCCAACATTAGAAAGGAAAGCACAAAAGTCCCCATCTCAAGGAGAGCTGCAGGCACCACGTTTGCTCAGCTACATGGGCACAAGCAGCTCAGGGGCTCGGGCAGCATAGGAGCCTTCAGTGGACCTTTCAAGGGTGGGTGTGCACCCCCCTCTTCTCCTTGACGGAGCGGCATGTCTTCTGATTGTTACTTCATGTGGCTCCAAGTTTTTCAGACACAGGATTGGTTACTTCAGCCTGAATTTATACACCTGGCTTTGGGGAATCTAAATTTTTATCCTAAAGTGGTTTTGAATTTTATTTGGGGGCTCGTGCCAGGCAGTGCTCAGGACTTACTCCTGGCTTTGCACTTAGGATCACTCCTGGCAGTGCTCAGTGGACAGTATGGGGTGCTGGGGATAGAACCCCGGGTCAGCTGAATGCAAAGCAAGCACTGAGATAAATACACAC